CTCAAAGAGAAAAAAAAGGAGAGAAGAAGAAAAATGCAAGTAAAAGTTATAGGCTATGAAAACATAAAGCTCCCAGTCATTAAAAAGCAAACTCCAACATGGGAGGCCATGAAATCCCATGTCCTTGAAACCCTGCAAGAATGCTGCTGCTTTGAGGTCTTGTTTGATAGTGTCCCAATTAAGCTTCGAAAATCGAATGCACTCTCACCTGGTAAAATCTAGAGAATAACTAATCTCATGTCGGCCCAAGAAAATCCAGCTTTCAGTGCCTCACAAGACGGGCAAAGGGATTCAACAACATCAAAGAGGAGGGGCTGCTAGACGAAGACGGTAGTCGCCCCAATGGGCTTCCACGGCGGTGCTACTCGCTCGCCTTCGCCGTTGGGTTTTGCATGCTCTTCATCTTCTTTGTGCTCATATTGAGGAGAGTAGGAATCAGACACATGACGTCATCAGGTACACACCTATTGATTTCAACTTGACTCATTGATTTATTTAAATGGAGAAGAAGGAAGGTATGAAAAAAAAAAAAAAAGGTTAGCAAAATAATAAAAATTCATACTTTGATTTCATTTGAATAATGAAAGGATCGACAACCATCCATTCAAAAAGAATAAGATATTTAGTTTAATAAATAGTATAACGGAACAAGTAAAACAAATATTGCATTAATGCATTTTGTATCTTTTTGCATTGGTCTGAAAATAATTTTAACAAAACAACTATGTACATGAGTTTGGACCATTCCATAATTTTATTTCTATCTAGAAATACACTACTATTACCCTACACCATATACTATTCACTATTCAAAAGAATTAAATGCATTACACCATCTACTATTTACTATTAAAAAGAAATAAATGCACTCGGTGTCGGCAACATATTGGTGAGTTCATGATATATGCATTTTGCACAAGATAATTTCTTATAAACATTAAAATAGTTCATTATATTGTAAAATCCAATTTTCTCAAATACAAGCCATGCATTATCAAAATTAGCGGTTTACAATTTCATAACATTTCATTTAAATAGAGCTTCTTTTTAAGACCAATATTGATATTGTTTATATGATTGAATTGTGAAAATTGTTTGATACATGAGTTTGTTCATATTCATGAATTGATTATTGTAATATTTGGTACATTAACAAGTGAATATTTATGGATTGACCCTTGTAATATAAAAATAATTATATGTGGCTACAAGGACCGGCCAACGTGGCCCTGCCGCCGACAAGTAATATTTAATAGTAGCCAACATGTCAATTGTCGAAATATAAAAAAATAAATAAATAAATAAATAAAAAAATAATAATAAAATATGTGATGGCCGGACAATTTATCAAAAGAAGATTTGAACAACTAAGTGAATCGGTCAGTGTAGCAAATAATTATGACCGGTATGGCCAGATGATAAATATATTAATAATGATGACCGGTGATGGCCAAATGATAAGTGTATTTGTTAATGATAGCCGGTGATATGGAATGGCCATATGATAAGTCCATATGAATGGCTATATATACATGGGTCGGCCAGTGCGGCTCTGCCACCGGTGACGGGCAGTACAAATTAAGGGATAGCCAGTGAATGAAATTAATGATACTTTGTATCTGGCCATGTGAAAGTTAATTAAAGTTCTGATCGTAAACGAACATTATATGGAGTAATTTGATCCTGAAAGAATAGTTGATAAATTCTCAAAATTTATTGATGGCCGAGAAACGAATATTGATAAAGTAGTATCAGAAGTTACTACTTAATGATTAAATGATATCTGGTATATTGGTATTGAAAGCTACCACGTTATGAATCAAACAAAATGATGAAACGGTACCGGAAGCTACCATTGGATGATTGAACAAAATGAGAAAGTGGTACCAAAAGTTACAAGTTATGTGTGATCACACAAAATGATTTCTCAATATATTATATGAGTCTAAGGGACTATATCAGATCACATTGAGACTCGAGATTATATAGATATTACAATAAAGTGCCCCAGAAGAAGCACATATGGTAAATGATTGTAGTCATGAAGTACTACACGCTTATATTGTGAAAAAAAAAACTAAATTGATATTATTATTACCAAGGAACAAGTATAGAAAATTCATATGATGGAAATATGGAGAAGAGGCAGTACATACTCGATAAATACGAAATACACAAATATTACATAATAGTACCCATAAAAGAAGGGTGCGT